CCCCGGGCCCCCCCCCCCCCCGGCGGCAGCTTCTGCGTGGTGCTCAGCACCCTGCCGCTGCTCAGCACCCACCCCGCTGCAGTCTGTGTGTGGTGCATGGTGCTCAGCACCCTGCCGCTGCTCAGCACCCACCCCGCTGCAGTCTGTGCGTGGTGCATGGTGCTCAGCACCCTGCCGCTGCTCGGCACCCACCCCGCTGCACCCTGTGCATGGTGCTCAGCACACATCCAGCTGCTCAGCACCCCTCCAGCTGCATCCCTGTGCATGATGCTCAGCACCCTTCCCACTGCACTCTCTGCATGGTGCTCAGCACCCTTCCAGCTGCTCAGCACCCACCCAGCTGCAGCCTGTGCATGGTGCATGGTGCTCAACTCCCTTCCCGCTGCACCCTCTGCATGGTGCGTGGTGCTCAGCACCCTTCCAGCTGCATCCCTGTGCATGGTGCTCCGCACCCTTCCAGCGGCTCAGCACCCCTCCAGCTGCACCCTGTGCATGGTGCTCAGCTGCCTTCCCGCTGCACCCTCTGCACGCTGCTCAGCACCCTCTGCATGCTGCTCAGCACCCTTCCAGCTGCTCAGCACCCCTCCAGCTGCATCCCTGTGCATGATGCTCAGCTGCCTTCCCGCTGCACCCTCTGCACGCTGCTCAGCACCCCTCCAGCTGCTCAGCGCCCTCTGCACGCTGCTCAGCACCCTTCCAGCTGCTCAGCACCCTTCCGACTCCGCTCCCTTCGAAGCCGCCGAGCAGAAGGAGGTGGGGGCCAACCCCCAAATCAGGTCCCGGAGTTGGGATTTGGTGCGGATCCGTCCTCCGGCGTCTTCCTCCTGGAGGAAGAGCTCCACGGCCCGGAGCATCCGGAGGAGACGCTGGATGGTCCAAAGTTGGACCAGGGAGAAGGTGACGCCCGAGGGGACGATGTCATGAGGTCAACCCTCCCCCACCCCAAGCTTGTCACCGCTCAAACCCACGCCGGTGGGGTTTTGTCCGCCGTGGCGCCGGCGACACCGTCCTGGAGTTTGGAGGGCCGAAAGCCGTGGGGGATGGTGTCCCGATGCAGCCACGTGGAGCCACCATCTCCTCCAGCTTTGGGGGGACCTACGTGGACAACCCAGCAAGGGGCTTTGTGGGTTGTTTTTTTTTCTCCTTGAGGGATTGGGGAGCTGAAGGACCCTTTGTGGTGACCTCCAAGAGCTCCTCTTCGAGGCGGTGGAGGGAGGTGGTGGCTCCCGAGCGGCGTCTTCTCCTCCAGGGATGGAGGTCAGGCTCGGAGCTGCCCGTTTCTATCAGCTCACGTCTCCAATCGAGCATCGCTTGGGTCTCCATCTTGTCCTGTGCTCCTTCTCCAGCCCAAGGTGGGACAAGCCCATGGAGAAGGCTTGGGTGAAGGACCCTGGAGATGCCGCTGCTCTCCCTGCCTTCATCCCTGCCCTCTCTTTGATGGACATCCCACCTCCCACCCCTCAGGGATGTCCTCCTGGCCTTCATCCTCCTCCTCGGGGCTGGTAGCTGGAAGGACCAAAGAGGAGGAGGATTCCCAGAGCCCGGAGCTGGGTGAGAGGCAGTTGGGGAATCACCACGAGATGACGCAGACCAGCTTCTCCCATGGCCAGGGCACCTTTGAAGACCTCGATGCCGATGTTCTCCAGGGAAGGCCGTGCCCAACGCTGAAGATATCCAAGCGCCCCTTCAGCTGGAGGTAGAACCTGATCCATCACCACCCCAATGAGTGACCCTACACCTGCCCCAAGCGCTGGAGGAGCTTCAGCGATGGCTCCAACCTCGTGTCCCACCAGAGGAGTCGTCACGGCTCTTCTGTGGGAAGAGCTTTGGCCAGAATGTGGACCTGATCTCCCACCATACTGGGGGGGAAGTCCTACGTCTGCCCAAGCTGTGGGACGTGCTTTGCCCAGAAGTCCCATCTCCCCACTCCTCAGATGATCCACGCAGGAGAGGGACCCTACATGGGCCAGGACTGCAGGAAAAGCTCTGGTAGAAGCTCCAACCTGATCAGGCACCAGTAGATCCACGTTGGGGAGAGACCCTATAGATGCCCCAGTGGTGGGAAGGGCTTCACCATGACCTCAAAGCTCATCGAACACCAGTAGACCCACATGGAGGAGGCACCCTACAAGTTCTCCACGTGCGGGAAGAGCTACAAGGAGCTGAGGTCCCACCACGTGGAGTCGAAGGTGGTGGCACCTCTCCCGGTGTAGGTGGGCATCCATGGCGAGCTGTGACTTTTTGGGGTCTCCAGCTCCATACCTCCTGCTCAGGTTGGAACGAGCAGTCACGGTCTGCCCTCATCTTCCTCTCTTCCACCTCCGGTGATCCTCCAGCCGTAAAATAACCCTCGGATGCTCCGGAGACATCATTAATAACGCTTAACATTAATCGGGGCGGGAAAACTAAGCGTTTCTGCGATGGAAAAACCCCAAATCTGGATTTTTCTAAGCTGAGGTGGGTCCTACGTGATGTCCAGGAGCTCGGTCCCCTTCCCCAGACTGGGCCGGCTCTTGAAACCAACTGGGAGGACTTTTCTTCTCCTTCACCTCCATATTGGGATGCTGGAAACGCTTGGATGGGTTGAATTAAGTCAAATTTCGGTTTCAATTCCAACCTTTGGAAGATATTTTTCAGAGTGGGGACATCATTTAACCCGGGTGAAATCAAGTCCCTGCTCCCGTCTCGCGGTCCCTTGTTGGGACATCCAACTCAGGACCAAGATATATATTTGGTGACGTCTAAATTAGCTTCTCGTTATCCGTCTACCGCCGTTTGCCGCGTCTGAAGAGCTCCAGCCTCCAACAGAAGGTCCTCACCCGGCGCCGACCCAAAATCCACCTTTCTCAAAGGCCGCGGCCACCCGGGGACGAGGCCAAATGGCGGCGCTTCCTTCCTTCGTTAAAAAAAAAAACCAACCCATTCATATCGCGTTTCCGTGGGTTTTTATCAACTCCGGACCTTTTTCTTGTTTCTTTTGAACCTTTTTTTTTTCATTCGCGGGGTCCGCGCGCGGGCGAGAATCGGCAAAGCCGGTTATTTATGGGAAAAGGCTTTGCGTCTGGCTCTTCTCTTTTTTAATTATGATTTATTTTGTTTAATTAAATCGTGAGGCTGCTCCTTGGAGGAGGGGTACGGAGAGGGGGCGGGGGGGGCTCCATCCTGGCTCCCCCGGGAGCACCGGGAGGGGTCCAGCCCGGCTCC